GGGTGTTGTCGACGTCAGAGACAGATAAAGCTGGTAATTTCAAAAATAAAGAATTGTAATAACGTTTTTAGAGTTAAAGAAAAACATATGGAGGCAATTCAAATTCAAAAATTCAAAATCATATATTTCAACTTAGATGTCAGTATAACAAACACACTTGTTGAATGTCAAAATATAAATAACAATGTTAACTCTACCACCGGTTCCAAAAAAGCCACAGTCCTGAGAAGAACCGGCGAAACAAACTCAGCGGTTTTTGGAGTTTACTCCTTTAGAATCGATTTACATATATAGGCCCGGGGTATGAAAATTATGGGGACCAAAATCGTACTAGCATGTCACACGAAATGCGTTATGCGCCTGATTGCGCATGTCACACGAAATGCGTTATCGCAGGTGACGCCGGGCTGCTGCGCCGGCAGTCCGCCACAAAGCCTCGTACTGATCGCGCGTTTCTCTCATTATTGTATTTTCATATATTTGTTAGTCGTTTGTTTTGTGTCTCGTTAATTTGTTAATAATCTGTAGTGTATCGTGTTGTCGTAATATAGAACTATTTCTCGTATTGTTTCGTTTAATTTTTTATATCCAGTAAACTCCAGTCGTGCGTCGGAGCGGACACACACACTTTTTTTTTTTGGTTTTTTTTCTCAAATATGTTTTTTTTTGCGTTGCGTTTTGTGCGTTTTTAATTGCAATATAACAACAAAAAGTAACTGATGCGAGGATTTAACATTTACTCTAGGAATCGTTGGCGGTATCTAGGTCTTCACGCTACATAACGAATATACAACATTTTTATATGTATTTATTATGAATGAAGTATCACTGGTGGCTCGGGAGCCTTTCTAGCTTTCCAGGACGGGTGGGCGAGCACGGGCTCGTTCTGGAGAGGATGGGATTGGCTAACAGCTGCCCGACCGCTTTCGAAGAAGACCTAACAACTCAAAGGTAATTGCTTCGCGAATGAATCTACTACCGGATCTGAATCGCGACCCGCTAGGAAGATCCGGCGAGAAACTCAGCGGGCTGATGTATGGAATACAAAATTTACATAAATAAAGTATTGAAACGACAGATTTCACCGCGCTTAAATGAGTGCCCAAGCAACGCTTTCTAACAATAAGCCCCTAGAAATCACAGTGAAACCATCATAGATCTTGATACATGAAAAATACGTAGACACAATACATGATTTTTTGACAGAAAAAAACGTTAAAATGCACGTATTATGAGTGAGGTTGGCGCCCAAAAAAATCCACTTCGCACTAGTTGTCTTCAATAGAAATTCAATAGAAAAATCTCTACCATACTAAATAATGATGGCTTTGTTGATCTAATAGTCGAAAAACATCACAGGTAAATTTTGATGTCTATTTTCGGAAACTATATTTTACTACGGATCTACATATTATACTTGGTTAATTCTCGTTTCTGACACCAATAAAACTGAACAAACATGTGTGTCACACGCGATAGAAGTGAAGCCTCGAAAGATACATATCTCATTCCTTCGCAGGCTAAATCATATAGTGTATCTCTCTTTTGAGCGTCGTTTTTTTAATGATATTTCCGTTTCATGGATTCCCGTACAGCTCTAAAAGAGTTTTCACTTCAGTAAGCCATTGCTTCTGACCATTAAACGTCGAACGTCTACTTATTGTTCTTAAGTTGTAATAATAATAATAAAACGAAGTCCAGAACTTTATTTGAAGTGACACATCACTGCCCAACACTATCTCGTCGATTGTGCCGAAGCAACGTTCCACAAAACACATAGGCATTTCCACGAAGTACGGCATTATTCATGAGGCTATTTATTCGTATTGCTCACTTACTCGTTCTGAATTTAGTGGTTTTTGAGCTCGAACTATCAGGTAACGATGTGAGATTTGATCACAGAGTAACATGGCTTGCGCATACTGTCAAATAAACCTTATTTCCTGACTAGTTTTTGTCAACTCAGTATATTTTGACAGTTTTCCTTAAAGGCATAATTCCTTAATGCACCATTACTCGCATTTGAATGACTGTTGCGCTAATATCAATTTATCACTGCAACCATTATCAAAATTAACTTTTTGAAGTGAAAACTTCTTTAGAATCGTTGTGATTTCAAACCGGATGCAACGGAAAAAACGACAGGTAAGAGACACAAATACAAAAATGTGTAGGATGAAGCCAGCAAAGAATGAGAGAGAAATATACATACTATTTAATACAGCGCCATCTGTGAGATTTTTTAATACTAACGTGTGTATGAAAGCTCTTGTAGTGAATTTTAATTTAGGATTATACGTGAAATTAAAATATCAATTCACAGAGGGCGCTACCTTACAATTATTTACTAATGACAAAATTTTACATATACTTAAGACGTTTAGGATAATTGTATTTTAATTTTGGAAGGTTTCACTTCTACCACGTGTGAATTGCACACATTTTGTTTTTTTATTTTTTATTTATTGCTTAGATGAGTGGACGAGCTCACAGCCCACCTGGTGTTAAGTGGTTACTGGAGCCCATAGACATCTACAACGTAAATGCGCCACCCACCTTGAGATATAAGTTCTAAGGTCTACATTATAGTTAGAACGGCTGCCTTACCCTTCGAACCGAAACGCATTACTGCTTCACCGCAGAAATAGGCAGGGTGGTGGTACCTACCCGTGCGAACTCACAAGAGGTCCTACCACCAGTAATAAAAAACAAACACAAGTATACAAATATTATCACCGCAGCACACACAGTGAGTTCGTATCCATACTATGCCCCAAATACTACCTTAACTGTTAGAATCGCATACGTAAATAGCATTCCTTTAAGAATTATGCTATTTTAACATTTCCTGGTAACATATGCAAATGAGACGTACTTTACGGTGCTGTTAAACAAAATATCGACTTAGCTTCACCTTTTGAAGTGAGTTACTTGTACGATATATTTTAGAGGCAAAATCAGATGGTTCTTTTAATGGTTTCTTAGCTTTACAATAAATCTAATCATTAAACCAAAGACTATTGAAGAGGGCTATACTCTTAGTTACATTGCTTGATTCAATAAAAAAATGAGGAGATTTGATGGAGAAATAACGGCCGTCTGGTGTAGTGGTAAGTGACATGGTCACTACACAAGGGGTCGCGGGTTCGAATCCCGCCAAGGGAAGATGTTTGTATGATAAATATAAATGTCTTTTCCAGGGTTATGGATGTATATTAAATAATAAATACATGAATGTGTATAATAAAAATCTTACATTTATTTCCGTTATCTGGTACCTGTAACACAAGTTCTTTACGAATTTAGCACGGGACCAGTTAACGTGGCGTGATTGTTAGTAAAAAAAAAATAAGTTTTAACTTTAAAACTTAAAGAATAATTGCTTAAGTGTTAATGTTTAGTCACCGGTCACTTCAGACGTGGGATCAGCAATCTGATGAAGGTCAGAGAATTTTACAGCATCCAGGCAGGTCAGGAACAGTCGTTGTGACGATTCTTGGAATAGAAAGTCGTTGTGGCCTAAAGGATAAGACGTCCAGTGCATTCGTGTTGAGCGATGCACCGGTGTTCGAATCACGCAGGCGGGTATCAATTTTTCTAATGAAATACGTACTCAACAAATGTTCACGATAGACTTCCACGGTGAAGGAATAACATCGTGTAATAAAAATCAAACCCGCAAAATTATAATTTGCGTAATTACTGGTGATAGGACCTCTTGTGAGTCCGCACGGGTAGGTACCACCACCCTGCCTATTTCTACCGTGAAGCAGTAATGCATTTCGGTTGAAGGGTGAGGTAGCCGTTGTAACTATACTGAGAACTTAGAACTTATATCTCAAGGTGGGTGGCGCATTTACGTTGTAGATGTCTATGAGCTCCAGTAACCACTTGTCCAACCATCAAACCAATAAATAAAAAAAAATAGAAGTAATTTTATATATTTAGACTTCATAGTTGTTCGTTAATTGAATTTGGAAAAATGGAATACGTTGTATCAAAGTAAGTAATATTTACGTTGCATTTTCCTTAACCGCTTGAAAACAGGAAAACAGGAAGACAGGTGTATCTACCTATCTGAATCTAATTTTTTTAAAGACAAATGCGGTCTAAAAAGATCTTAAATGTCACTGTGGAATGAATAGTCTTAACATATAAACCAATGAATCTGAAACGCGTCAGGCGTCAGGAAGTGGGCGTTGGTAGTGGCCATGATGAAGCGGCGCCGACACCTTCCGGGGCAGACCTGTGATATTAAGTTTGTCGTACTACATTCTATCTGTGAGGTGTAATTTACCAACAGTAGGTTAAATTCGTAGTTTTTTAATATAAATGTACATATCCAAGGGTCATCTATCTGGCTTTTATGTTATTGTTGATATTTAGGTTTGAGATGGACGTGTTCATTGGTTTGGTGTAAAATTTACTTTTCAGAGAGAAATACCAGACCCGCGTCAGGCACTCTAAACTAATAAACAATAACTTATATGTAATTATGTTGAAACGAAATTAAAAAGTTTTGTTTACAAATTAATAACTGGAAAAGAAAACACCTCGTATTAAATTACTAATCCGAATTTCATTAATAAAGCAATGGAAGATTATTCCATCTCCTCATAAATTTACGCAGACATTGATAGCAAATACCTATACAAAGATCAAAACCGAATGGTTTTCATGATATTTTTAAACTTTGCTGTGTAAAAAACTCATCTTAGTCCCAGAAGTGATGTCAGAATTTTAATTCTGTTAAAAATAACACCACCAAAATCCCATAACATCACTTTATACTTAGCTACACGTTTTTATCCACATCTGATATTTGAGTGAAAAATCTTTACCGAGTATCTAAAAAAATGCCATTAACGTTTAAATGAACATAATTATTAACAATTTTATCGCAACAGCTTCGATAAATTCATCCAATCTTATCCTTGATAATGACAACTGAGTAATTATAGCATTCAGAAGTTAGAGTTCCAACAAGACATACGGGTACAATGACGCGTTTTCTTAGTTTTATGGTATTAATAACGTGGGCCACAATGGCCAGGAGTGAATGCATACAATTTACATTCGAAAGTGGTATCGGCTTATACGGAAATGATAGTGCTATGTGTAGTCCATTCCCGATTTGGAATTTGGGGACGTATTCCTCTATAGAAGTGGAAACGCCTCATGTCAAAAGCACCCATTTCGTGGAGCCTAACGATAGGACCAGCTGTTTCACATCGCCCAAAATACAAATGGAAAATGGTGGACGTTTAGAAATTAATGTCTTTGTGGATTCAGTAGTTGGACGGGACATAAGTTTGTCGGTCGTGGCCTCCGAAAATGTCCCAAATGGTGTAGATTCAATTGTTGCTGTTTCGAATCTGCCTCAATCAACCACTCCAGGCTGGCACGTCTTGAGTGCAAACATTGTAGGGAGTGTGGCTTTCGAAGGATACGTAAGTAGTTCTTGTTATAAAAGTTGCAAGTAAATCCCTAAGTACCCCTACCCGATAACAAAACATACCTGTCAATTTAATAAGAGTAAGTGAACCTTAATAGCAAATCATAGGTCTATACAAATAGATAGAAGAAGAAGAGAATAGAAGTGTCCGGGTCCTAATAGGTAAGATTTTTTTATAAATAGATAATGTGTAAGATTGATCAATACTTATGTGTCACTACTTCGACCACAATAAGCCAAGTCATAAACCCAGGGCCCCACATCATTTTTTTGGGTAATCAGGTTCTGTCCCTATGATGATCGAGCGTTTGGGTGAAAAAGCAGTCTTGGGATTCGATTCCCTACATATTAACCCGACAATCCTAATAAGTAGAATTATAGTCAAATAATTTCTCTTTGTACATTAACAAGTAAAGGGTTATTGTGAGTCTACACCCCACGATAAAAGTCTTAAGTCACAGCTATTGTCAAAATGTCATTTACGTTCTAACTGTTGGGTTCTGTTATTAAAAGATACAGCTGTGATCCATCGATGACTTTAACAATAAAGATATATGCTGTTTGCAGGCTAAAAATATAACAAAAAATCAAGGTTTTCATTATTTTTATTCTGGTTATCCTGATCAATGTATTAGATCAAATTAATATTGTTTTTCATCGGTTGTCGTACTTCTTAAAGATCTTGAAAAATTCCCCTGAAAGATTGTGCTAGATAAAAAGATAGTTACTGATAGATACATATGTACAAGTCAACAAATAAACTTGTGTTAGAAATGAAAAAAATGAATTAAAATTTTGGTAATTGGTTAATTTCATAGCTGAAAGTATAAGTTTGAATTAACATGAGGATATATTTTACGCCAATTTAGAGAACTTCAGAGTTGTTTAGTAAGGTGATGTTGCATTTAACACGAAATTTAAACAAATTATATGATTTCAACTAGTGTTTAATTTTGTATTGGTTTAGATCGTTCGCGTTTATACATATTCAGAAATTTAATAACACTAAAACATCAGCCAACCAGAAACATTAAGGAAAATTACAGTTTTTTTAATTGAATTAATAAAAATCTAGTAATAAATTCTTTAGCAGCTGTCGAAGTCAAAGATATGTATTTATTTATCATCGTACGTTTTTGATATTGATTTGTTTTGTTATATTTTTTTACGAAATCTATTTTTTAATTACTTATAAATGGAATTTACAAAAAGATTAGCGCTAATACGTTACTTTACATAGAAAGTTGTGATATGAAAATCAATTAATATGTTTACTTTAATTACTGGTAATTACTAATCAATACATTGTCTACTAGATTGATCAATTTTATAACAACAAGCTCCGCTTCCCGTGTACGGGAAAATAAAATTGAAATTTAAGTGATTGTAGTAAGAAATCAAATTTAATTCGGAACTTCTACGCTGTTGTTCTAATCGTGTTTTATTTTTGGCACAACTCTTTTATTCTTTTTCCTATCCAATGGCCCATCGAAATCAGTATAAATCTTTTCAGTTTTATTATCACGTTTATACTTCGTTCAAATGCTTAGAGAAAGAATGCATTTAGGTTGGAAAATATTATCAGATAAGGACGATATCAATGTTTAGCTGCATTACAGTACAATATACAGTATTTCAATTGAAACTTCCTCAAATCAAAATATATTTACAGTTTTAAATTCGTTTGAAAGTATATTTTTATGTGTCTCTGATATCAACAGCACTGTGCTGCAAAATATGATCGATTAAAGTTATCAGTACAAGCAATTTTGATTGTACACAAATCGATGAGTGTCGAAGTGAATAACTTTATAAAATATTTTTCAGGTTAACTTCATCGGTCACAGATCAACGGGGTCCCATATTTTGATCGATGCCATCCGTTACATCCCTCCACATGTTGATGTAAACGACTGTGTTTTGTATGAAGACGACGAGACAACCCCACAGCCAGAAGCGACGACACCTGAAGCAGATGACGTTGAAGAATGCATCACGTTTAACTTCGAAGAAAACACGGAGAAACTCTTCGATGATAACAATTATTTGTGCGACGGCTTCGTTCCTTGGAATATTGGGAACTATGCGAACATCGGAATAGAGAGTCAGAACGTGGGAGGTGAAAAATTCTTGATTCCAAATCAGCAGTCCAGTTGCACGGCTTCTTTCGCGTTCCCAATGACCCCCGGTGGCGTAATAGAAGCCAATGTATTTATAGATCACACGTCCAATTTAGATCATATTATAATTTTGGTCAAGAACCTAGTTTCCAACGGAGTAGATACTGTTGCAGGATTCCAGATTTTTGAACCGTCTCGTGCTTCTTTCGTGACAGGGTGGAGCGTAATTCGCATTCCCATCGCTAACTTAATCCCTTTCAATGGATATGTGAGTATTAATAGCAAGTAAGTTAGAAATAATATTTACCTTTACAATTTTTACGGTTATTTCTTCTATGATCTTTCTCCGTCTAATAATTTTACTAAAAACGATACCCATACAACTTGTTCCAACGATAACATCTAAAAGAATTATTTTTTCTTTTAGTTCCACAATTATTTATGCTATACCTTTTGGACAATCTACTATAATGTCACATAAAAACTTTATAATGTTAGCGATTTGGTTAAGAATTCGACATTATAAATTACAATTACAATAACATCATTTCCACCATGTACCTGCTGAAATATCTTTATTCCTGTGTTTAATAGAGCGTATTGAATACTTATGACCTCACGCGAGCTTGTACCACCATTCTGACTATGTATGTCTGCGGCAAAGCCATTATGTGGCGTGTTCTTTAATACACCGGTAATACAGGCCACTTGTAAAGCTTTAGCAAAAAGTATGCCATAGTCACGCAAAGAGCCATGGAACGGGCTATATTAGGCATTTCTCTACGGGATATAATGCGCAATACCGAAATCCGGAGAAGAACTGGTTTGACTGACATAGTCAAAGTGATTGTCATATATGCCGTCACACTGACAATCGGTAGGGACAAAAGTACTGGAGCAGAGACCTCGTACTGGACGTCGTCTCCGGTCATCGCTCTCGTCGAACCCGTCGCTAGCGACAAAGGGCTCGACGAGTAAATTAACCCACAGACACAGCCCATTGTGTTTCTCGCCGGATCTTCTCAGTGGGTCGCGTTTCCGATCCGGTGGTAGATTCTGCGAAGCACGGCTCTTTCTAGGGTTCGTTTTAGCAACGTCGTCAGGTTTGAGCCCCGTGAGCTCACCTACTAGTTAAGGTTATGCTGAAATAGCCTCTCAAGTCTATCAGCTTAGATAGGAAAAAAAAAGGACGTCGTAACGTGGGCAGTCAGCCAACGAGGTGGACCGATGGCCTGGTCAAAGTGGTTGGTAGGGACGGGATGAGAAAAGTAAGAGACCGAACAGAATGGGGTGCATTCGAAGAGATCTACACTCAGCATTGGGTGGACAAGGGTTGAAGAAGAGAAGATGCCATAGTCAGCCCAATTACGTTCAATAAAAAAACAAATCTATTTACATAATATCTACTAAACATACAAATAATCTTCTGATAAATACATTAAACTTTTAGTGTCGTTTTACCGAGAAACGCCAATCTAATCTCATTTTTATAACTTCCTCAACAGACGACATAGATTTTGTTTATTATTAATGTACATACATCGTACTGAACGTTAACTATTTATCAAAACATGAGATATCGATCGATCTATGTTTTGAAATGTAAAAATAATTGTATTTTAAACAATCTAGATGATGACCGGTTTTTTTTGTTTGTTATTCCATCTTGTTGTGTCTTTAAAGCGGTTAGTTGGCCTCAATTAAGAAAAATAGTATTATTATTCGCCAATAGTAGTCGGAAAGAGTTGATTATTGAAAACACGAATAAAACAAAATTTTCTGAAAATAAATCGTAGCTAGATCGATTTATCGCCCCCGAAATCCCCTGTATAGGCGGGGTGGTGGTACCTGCCCGCGCGGATTCACAAGAGGTCCTACCACGAGATCTGGCGACATCATCGTGGTAAAGGCGTGGATTTTTTTTACTGCTTCACGACAGAAATAGGCAGGGTGGTGGTACCTACCCGCGCGGACTCACAAGAGGTCCTACCACCAGTATACAATGCTATCAATCATATTAGGGTTACTGTGTATGATTTTTTTTATTGGAACCTGTTTTACCTTCTTCATTCTTTCACAGTTGGTGTTCCTCGGAGCAGCCGCTGAAGGTTCGAAAGTTCTAGTTGATTCGTTCAGATACATTCCGCCCGGCACCCCTGCGGACCACGAATCATGCGCTATATACTAAAACACATACGAATTCAAGCCTTAACGCAACCGCTTCAATTAATTTCTAATTAAATTGTTATGAATAATCTTTAAAAAAAAAGCAACAAAAAAAAAACGCATTTCAAAAATCTCCACTGCTATTTTATTTGTTACTTCAAAAAGAAAAATGACAAATTTTTTTAATTTTTATTTATTGAATTTATTTTTGTAGCCTGTTTCTTTTGAAAGGAAATTATTAAGACAAAAACAAGAACAAAAAACAGAATCGCAATTAAGCGTTCTCATATATGTGTAAATTTAAAGAAGTCAACTGATAAATGTGTATTAACGAAAATCGATTCTTTTATTTATATCCTTTTTACATACATAATATATTAGATTTTTTATAATTTTGGGTGTTCCTATGGACGGTCGCCTAGCAATTCAATGACATTAACAATCAAGAGATTCTTATTAACCTATCAATATGATAATGGAAGTGAAGGTGACCAGTAAAGGTAGACCAAGTTATGTAGAGGCACTGAGCTAAACATATGTTGTATCTATTGAGTGATGTGACGACGAAAATTTTTTCTTTTAATTTTTTCTGATAATATGTTTATTTCTTTGATAGAGTAACGAGCTAACGGCTCAGTCGGTACTTAGTGTACCTGTCGAATTGCAGGTCTAGAGACACGGAACCACAAGCAGCAACTGCTTTTTAGGTAGCGGCTTGGCTCTGCCCCTGGCATTGCTGTAGTCCATGGGCGGCGGTAACCACTTACCATCAGGGGGGCCGTGTGCTCGCTCGTCTACCTACAAGGGCAATAAAATAATAATTCTATTATGTAAAATGGCTGTCTCATCCTTCAAACCGAAATGCATGGCCGGGGGCTGAACTTCCTACGAGATACCCGCCAAACTGTCGCTCTTTCGCACATGCAGCGTGGTTAGGTACTGGTAGTGGTACTGGACCTCACCCCGTCAGGTCACAATGCATGTACTACCACCCTACCTATTTCTGTCGTGAAGCAGTAACGCATTACGATTTGAAGATTTTGGTGGCTGTTATAGTGTAAAGCTGAGATTTAAAACTTCTGTCTCCATGTTGGTGGCATTTAAGTTTTGACGTCTGTGATGGCTCCGGTAACTACTCAACACAAGAAGCGTGAGCTCGTCCGACCCTATCAGCTATAAAAAAGATAAGGACCCAGAGTTGCTTTGTGGTTTAAATAAGTAGGATGGTGGCTTTCATGCCCTACAACTAGTACTGAGTACTAATTTTTAAATCTATAGACTGATTTGTCGGTTGAAATTTGTCTGGTAAAAGTACTGTAACAATAACAGCTATTCATAGGAGAATTGTTTTTTTTTTAACCTATACATTCGTCGGTAGCCAAAAGTGCTAATCCGGCTACACCGGTACGGGTAAGTGAGCCCACGGGCTCAACCTAAACAATTTTTAACACTAGCCTTAGCAAGAGCAGTGCTTCGCAGAATCTACCACCGGGTTGGAATCGCGATTCACTGACAAAATCTGGTGAGCATTTCAGTGGACTGTGTCTGTAGGTTAGTTCAATCGTCGACATTGGCTCTCTTCCTCGTAATCGACGAGATCGATGAGGTCGATTCGAGGGTGGATCCAGGGGATATTTTGATATCATCTCAACACAAGTCTTCGCTCTTTCCTTAAACTCCTATTCTCCCATCGATAGCAACACTATCTTTGTATAAGAACGTAAAAGAATCGATAAAGGACTCTTATAGGCGAAGAAGAAACAAATTAAAAACTTTAATCAAACGGAAACATTCTAAAAACTCCGATTCTTTGTTACATTGTATGGGTAGCGAATAGATACGCATGCAGTAAACATTCACAGTAGAAACCATCCAAACGGTAAGTTACCACGAAAAATGTTGGCGATAACTTTCTATGGGCAGTCGACGATATTCGAAGTAACCGAAAGAGAAATTCAACTTTATGCACTTTACAATAGAGACGTAAATTCATTGGAAAGCTTAAAGTTTTCTACCTATGAATGGCTCGCGATATTGAACAATTTAGATGAACCGTGAACCGAGATAAAGGATGCACATTTAGTTTAAGCCCACGTTTATGGTACGGCTCGGCGGTTTATTAAATGCATGTTTCAAACTTACCACATTCCGAAAGAGACGAATAATAAGTACTGAAGACTTTTTTTTAATGTTAGACGTAATACCAGAGGTCAATGTAATATATTAAGCGCATTTCTTAGCCCAACACAACGAGATTATTCTTCGTTCTTTTCCTTCACCAGATTCGTCTTGAGACCTATCTCGAGATGTCGGCCATTTTTACGGTCTCTATATAGCGGCTGTCCTACTCTGAAAACGGGAACGAATCATTTTATTATATTATCACCGCAGAATTAGACGGGAAGACACCTTTTCACTCGGTGGACTATTTTTTTATTATTGCATTAATGGGTGGACGAGCTCACAGCCCACCTGATGTTAAGTGGCTAGAGCTTATAGATATCTACTACGTAAATGCGCCACCCACGTTGAGATATAAGTTCTAAGGTCTCAGTATAGTTACAACGGCTGCCCCACCCTTCAAACCGAAACGCATTACGGCTTCACGACAGAAATAGGCAGGGTGGTGGTACCTACCCGTGCAGACTGACAAGAGGTCCTACCACCAGTAATTACGCAAATTATAATTTTGCGAATTTGATTTTTATTACACGATGTTATTCCTTCACCGTGGAAGTCAATCGTGAATATTTGTTAAGTACGTATTTCATTAGAAAAATTGGTACCCGCCTAGGATTCGAAACACCGGTGCATCACTCAACACCAATGCACCGGACGTCTTATCCTTTAGGCCACGACGATGCTAGAAATGAATAGTAGATAAATAGCTACAGTAGGTACCTGGAAGCATTGCGATCACACTGCATTTGCTGAGTTAATTGAGTCGCGCATCATCCAGCGCTGGAATGAACTCTCCTAGCTATTCCCTGAGCTCTAACGCTTCGTTCTTCGAAGGAAGCTTAAAGAGAGCTTTCTGTGGTATGCACTTGGGTTTGTCTCTGGAAAAATAGCAAAAGATTTTGATTATGATACAACTAAATGTCGAATCTCAATGCGTCAACGTGTTATAACTAGAAATGTCGGACTTTTTGGCGGGAACGCAAGGAGTAAAGTTGTGCCATTTGTTTTATTTAGTGTTTATTCAGGTTTAAATGTGTAATAACGGTGGCTTATTAACTGTTTAGAATCTGTGAAAGTGCACAATTGTGGGAAAATGAAACAAAGCCGCCCGACGTAGATTTTTTTTTATTGCCCTTGTAGGCAGACGAGCATACGGCCCACCTGATGGTGAGTGGTTACCGTCACCCATGGACTTCAGCAATGCCAGGGGCAGAGCCAAGCCACTGCCTACCTAGCTTTTCGGGATCCTCCAAAAAGTGCCCCTGAAAAAGTCTCAGTAAATGACCACCATTTTACTGAAATTATATTTCATCACATATCGTCCCATTTGTAAATTTAATTCGTTTTTAATCATTTATGTTATGTCGCGGTTAGTTTCCTTCGTTTTTTATTATTCACTAGCGACCCGCCCTCGCTTCGCTTCGGAAACTGTAATTTATTATTGATTTCTCCACTATTTAATGGATGCTATTATACATATAAACCTTTCTCTTCAATCACTCTATCTGTTAAAAAAAACCGCATCAAAATCCGTTGCGTGGTTTTAAAGATTTAAGCATACATAGGGATATAGGGACAGAGAAAGCGACTTTGTTTTATACTATGTAGTGATAAACTGTAAATAATTAAAACGGCTAATTATAAAAATCTTATAACTTGAAGCTGGCTAATTCACAAACCGTGCCGGAGCCAAAAAATAAAGAGAAGAACTAGAAATATCTAAACGTTTTATAAGGATTCAGAGCAACATTTTCGGGGACCACACACCAAGTTACGACATAAATTCTCTTAGAGACGACAGGTTATGGTTTAACAGCAGTTAACAGGCTTGTGCCGAACCCGGTATGAATTTACGACATCTTGTACTAAAATCCTTGGTCCATTGTTCGTAACATGCTCTCGTCTTGGCAGCTAAAGTGTGTGCAGTGTAGATCAGCTTCGTTATCGCTTGATCCTGGTTACAAAGTGACCGCTTACGAGGCCTTTATTGAATGTCTATTTGAATTATTTTAGATGTTACACATAAAACATAGGATAGTGTTGATGTACAAATTAAACATAGGAAATATTATTTTTGAAAGTACCTGAGCTAATTGAAGGAAAATCATTGAAATTATTTAGCAACTCCAAATCTGTCTTTTTTGTTTTGCATCTCTTTCAAAGTATAATACGAAAAGCGAATTTTGACAGATGTCAACGTCACGCAAAAACAAAAAAAAACACAAAATTATCAGATTTTCATACAATCTCGAGCTTTATAAGCTTTCAGAAATTGAAAACGTCACCTTTTATCTTAGAAAAGTGGGAGTGCTATGAAAGACAATAAGAACAGCACTGTTTGACGTCAGTCATTTAGATACGAAAGACAATGGTCTTATCTCGTTGCTTCTTACACAAAAACTTTGCGAATTCATTTCGATTTATCTACCCGACAATCAATACTTTAACAACACTTTAACAATTTTTTTTTTATTGCTTAGATGTGTGGACGAACTCACAGCCCACCTGGTGTTAAGTGGTTACTGGAGCCCATAGACATCTACAACGTAAATGCGCCACACACCTTGAGATATAGTTCTAAGGTCTCAGTTTAGTCACAACGGCTGCCCCACCCTTCAAACCGAAACGCATTATCGCTTTACGGCAGAAATAGGCGGGGCGGTGGTACCTACCCGTGCGGACTCACAAGAGGTCCTACCACCAGTAAAAAAAGTAAATTAAATAAAATCAATCAATATTATTTTGTTTACGGAATACAAGTACCGTGTGATTTTGCCTACACTAATTCTATAATTCTAAAATAATTAAAACCTATTTCTTCGGGGATATTTGATTAGTTCA